ATTTGGATTTCAGTACCCTATAGAAATATATTTTGATTTCACTACACTTTCTTTTCTGTGAGAGGTAGCTTGTCTAGAGGATAGACTTAGAGTCAGGAACATTTATGATCAAATCCTGCCTCACACTTACTAACCGTGTGACTTTGGGTAAGTCATTACCTCTGTACCTCAGTTTCCTTATCTATAAAATGAGGGGAGTTGGACTCCATAGCCTTTAAGTTCCTTCAAGCTCTGAATCTTTTATCCTACTATCCTTTGATCTTTCCCTTTGCCTTCTTTGATGTCATGAATTATTCTTACCTTAATTTTGATTTTTGATTGATCATTTTTATTTGACTGCTTACATTATACTGTAGTTTTGTTACTACAGTTACTGCAGTCGCATTTCAGTTGGAAAATTCAAAGATTATTTAATTATTAATTGCCCCACACAATCTACTGCAGCATTCCAGCCCAAAGGACAAAAGAATCCCAGAGTGGCTGGGAATCCCAGGATGTTGAGAAGACAGAATTTATGGCTATAAAACTTTAGTACTTCCATACTTACCGATTTTCTTGTTTCGTATTTGTTATTTAAGGATAGATACTAGTCTTTATTGGCTTATGTCTAAAATTTTTAATGATTTCTTTTATTACACATTATATGCTTAGCAGTACAGTGAGTTAAAATACTAGTGTCCACTTCAAATCCTCTGCACTTAGTACATTATTTTGTTCAATAAATATTCCTCACTCATTCACAATAACAGTAATATCAATAAACAGTTCATTGAAATAATTTTTTTAGTAGCAGGATGATGTAGCATATTTTCATAATTCTTTTTTGGTAGTTTGGTTCAATTCCTCAGTTTTAATTCAGTCACTGCACAGCAATGAATTATATTGCAATAAATGTGTATAGTACCTCTTGTTTTTTAAAGTACTTAATCTGCCTCTTCCATTCCCCTCTTCTCTCCCCCTCCTCCAAATAAAAAAATAAAAGCACACAAATAAAGCCCCTGATACATAACTGCATGGGCTGGCAAAACAAATTCCTACATTTACCATGTCTGAAAATCTGTCACTTTCTGCCAGGAGGTGAGTGACGTGCTTCATCTTTGTTCTTTTGGACTCATGGTTTATCATTGAGTTGATTTAGCGTTTTAAAGTCTTTCAAAGTTGTTTTTCTCTATGATATTGTATAAATTGTTTCTATATTGCTGATTTAACTCTGTGTCAGTTCTTAGAGGTTTACCTGGTTTCCTCTGAAACAGTCCATTTCATCATTTCTTATAGCATGATAATATTCCCTTATGACAATATTCTGTTACATTCATATCATAATTAGCTATCCCAATAGGACATATACTTTGTTTCCAATTTGGGGTTACTACAAAAAGCTGCTGTAAATATTCCAGAGGCATATGAATATATGAATATAGTTATCCCTTCCACACTGTGACTTTGTCCATCACAGTTTTCACGGGTTGGCATAAGAAATTACTGTAAGTGGGAATTTTGGGGAGAGTTTTGTGGAAGCCACAGACCACATATGAAGGCCAGCATGTGACAGAAAAAGTTTAGGAACTCAGAAATGCATAAAATATGCCTATGACCTAATACTTAAACTCACATTTTACAGTAAGGTACTATCACTACCCCATAAGAGAAAAAGAAAAAATTCAAACTTGTCTGGTATGATGGGAGGACCAAACTTTTTTATACAGATTTTCTAGATTTCAGGGGCACTGCACAACTAACACCCCTACTCCTACCCCCTGATATGAAAGGGATAACTGGATTCTGAAAGCAGCTGGATGGAACAGCAGATAGAACGCTGGCTTAGAGTCAAGAAAATCTGAGTTCAGATTTGTTCTCCAACAATGAGTAGTGTGATTCTGGGCAAGTTACTTAATCTCTGTTTGCTACAGTTTTCTCAACTAAAATGGATTAATAATAGCACTTACCTCCCAGGGCTGTTGTAAGCTTCAAATGAATAAATATTTATAAATTGCTTAGCACAGTGCCTGCACATATCAGGAACTTAATAAATGCTTGTTTCTTTCCTTCTTTCCTTCCATCCAGTCAAACCCATAGCTGAAACAAACAAATAGTCCTTCTGTAAAATACACTAAAAGTAGTTATAGGCCTTTGCTTAAAGATCTCTGAGAAGGAAACCTCCTGAGGCAGCACATTCTTTTGTGTAACTAATTGTGAGTCAGTTTTTCCTTATATTATGTTTAGTATAATCAGGCAGAATTCTATTTCCTGTTCATTACTTTTAGTATTTCTTTCTAGCTTAAGGTTTTTGTTGTTGTTGACTTGGGATTTCATTTGGTATAGGGAAGTTAGGGAGAGAAATCTGCCTCTATTAATATGTCAGCAATTGCTCTGCAGCCTGTAGTCATAAGATTTTCCTGGGGCATTGAGAGGTTAAGTGACTTGCCCACAGGCTGCGTTTGTCAAGATTCTGGACTTGAGGTCAAGTATTCCTGACTTTGACCCACTCTCCCTTCTGTGCTTCTCTTTTATATATTGAATATGCTTTAGCTGAACATTTTTGGATTGAAGAGTTCATAAATGGTTATTTGAGAAAACAAGAATCTAGGGATAGTACTGCTGCATTTTATAGTAACAATGACAAGAACTTTTCTTCATTTATTTTATAAAAATTTTTAGACATGATCTAGTAAAGGCTATCTTTAAGTAACAGATATGAAATAGAAAAATTAGTAAATTCCGGTAGTAGTAAAGCTTTATACACACAAATCATCTATGCCTATAGGTGGATTACAAATGTTTGAATGATTAATGATAATGCTGGCTTTTAAGAAGCACTTGTAAAACTTAGCTTGATAGGATTTTGTCTGAGGAACTTTAATCTGTAGGTTTTGCAGCACATGGGAAGTAGGCAAAAAATCTATAGTATTGCACTTTTAGTTTCACTTTTGCTTAAAAAGGATTGCAGACAGTGCCTTAGAACATTAGTTACTTGTATGTCCAAGAAATTTGTGTCTTGTAATTCAGAAAATTGCTTGATTAGTGTGAGAATAGATATTTAACTTTTTCCCTTGGGATGTTGCACAAATTAGTGATCAGTTAAAACTATCTGCTGGTAAATACCTCAAGGAAAGTGAATGTAGTAGTTACAAGGCCAGCATACCTTTTTAATTCTCTTAACATTGAAAACCTGTGATAACTTTCTATCATTTTGCATTACACTTCTCTGAAATTTGATTCTGGTGTATATAAACCTCTAAAGTGGTGGTGGTGATAGAAGCCCTTTTTGTTAGGTGCTTAAAATATGAATATAAGGGTTATATTAGACTTTCAATGGATTGTATTTCTACAGGAAAACTCTTAAGTATTTATAATTTACCCTGGTTTTATGAGTCTCAGAAGTAGAGGTGAAACTGATTTTAAGGCGTATATCAGAAATGATCATTTTTTAGTAACATCTGTATTTTATTTGGGTTCATTGTCAAATATTTAGCAACTTTTTAAGGTATCACCAAATCTGGGAAAGTTATGAAAAAAAAAAGAAAAGGGAAATCATGGCCCTTAAAATCAGGGAGCTTTCTAGGTGGGCATGAGGGATAAGTATCTTAGTTGTTAGTAATAAACATGAAAAAAATAGGAAAACATATTTTGTTCCTTGAAATTAACTAAATAGTTCTAATACAAGTTTAGGTAGTTTTGTTGATGTTCAATATTAAGTCTTTGATAAAACATTTAGTTTTTGAAACTCAAGGAACTTACATTATATTAGAATAACCAAGTTAGATACTACACATGAAACACAAGTGAAATAAACATGAATAATTAACTGAAATTATACAGATTTACTGATAAGTCCTTGGAGAATAAAAGGGATGACGTATCCTTTAGCAGGTCCTCAGAATTTAAACTCTTCAGTGACTAGTCCTGTAGATAATGCAGAAGCATATCTTCATATCAGATTTAGATAAAGGAAGACACTGGCCAGAAAACAGAATGGATTGTGTTTGTTTATAAAGTTATTTGTCTTCACTTGATTCTCCTAACCTTTTCGAGAGAGAGCTATACAGATCAAGTGTATGTGTTTCCCCTATACTTTCTCTTTCCCTCAGGCTCAATTTCCTCATCTGTAAAGTGAGGATAATAATTTAATACCTCCCTCACAGGGTTGTTATAAGAAGCAAATAAGATAATATGTAAAGCAGTCTCCAAACCTTAATGTTTTCGAGGATCAATGTCATGAAGAGCTTGCTGTTTTATTTGTTTTAATTCAAATTTTATGTTCATCTAGTTATAAATCTGCATACGAGAGATTTAATAACTTGAAATCAGCAAAAATTGTGCTTCAGCTATCAAGGAAGTTGGTTGGGACTCAGCTTAAAAAACACACACTGAGTGTTTTACTTAGGAGAGTGGAGGACGGAAGGGAAAGAATGCATTGTTTAGTTGTTTTCCGTCATGTCCAGCTCTTTGTGACCTCTTTTGAGGATTTTCTTGGAAAAGATACGGTTTGCCATTTTCTTCTCCAACTCATTTTACAGATGAAACTGAGGCAAACAGGGTTAAATGACTTGCCCATGGACACAGTATCTGAGTGTATGAGGTTATATTTAAACTCAGGTCTTCCTGACTCCAAGCTCAGCACTTTGTTTACTGTGCCATCTACCTGCCCCTAGAGTGAATGCATAGTCATAATAGTGGCTTCTGCAATAGTCCATGTAAGGGAGAAGCAATATCCCACATTTTGAAGAAAGCTCCAGCTTCTAGTGAATTCATAATGTGACTTTAGAATACCTTTGCACAGTGGTTGGGAAATACTAAATAGTGTTATTTAAATCTATCCTGATCCAGTCACCATAAGTCCACAGCTCTAAGTATAAAATCGAGTATGAAGTGAAAAAGACTTTATTAAAAACATTATCTGGGTATTTTATAGTAATTATTTTGTTTATAAAATGAATGAATTTTTACAGAATGTCTTATGGTTGAATTTAAATGATATTTTTCAATTTTTTAACTTTTAGGTCTTTGAAGAAACTGGTTTTGATATCAGAGATTACATTTGCAAGGATGATTACATTGAACTGAGAATCAATGACCAACTAGCTCGTTTGTACATCATCCCAGGAATTCCAAAGGATACGAAATTCAATCCAAAAACCAGAAGAGAGATTCGGGTATATAACAAGTGAAAACATTTATGTGTTTCTACCCGATACCAGTGCCCATTCTTTTTGTACAGAGTAGTTTAAAAAAAAGTACAAAGCATGCTGGATTACTTTTAGATAAAGATTAGCAAACCCTAGCTTGGTACTGTTACTTTTTCAGTCTCAGCTCTTTGTGGTTTATTAACAAAAGGATTTTTTTTTTACTCTTTCAGAATATTGATTGGTTCTCAATTGAAAAATTACCCTGCCATAGAAATGACATGACCCCAAAGTCAAAACTTGGCTTGGCACCTAACAAGTTCTTCATGGCCATTCCATTTATCAAGTATGTTTTTGGTACTTAAAATACAGGCTTTACATGCTATAGTTCTAGTAATTGAAAGATAAAAGCTACAATCATTTTCACAGACCACTAAGGGATTGGATTTCTCGAAGGTTTGGGGATTCGTCAGACAGTGATAATGGATTTTCCTCAGCTAGTGGAACACCAGCTAAACCTAGTGTGGAGAAAATGAGGTAAGGAAGCATATTTATATGACTCTTGCTTTCTGGTAGTTTAAAATTTATTGTTGTTGTTGTTTGGTTGTTTTAGTCATGTCCAGCTCTTTGTGACCTGGCACCCCCTGGAGTGGTTTGCCATTTCATTTTTCAGCCTGTTTTACAGATGAGGAACTGAAACAAACGGGGTTAAGTAACTGGCCTAGGATCACCCAGCTAGTAAGTGTCTGAGGCCAGATTTGAGTTCAGGATGGTGAATCTTCCTGACTCCAGGCCCAGCTCTATATCTATTGGTTGTCCTTTTGTGACTAGAAAAATATTCCTTGAGTTTTCTGTAATATTATAAAAGGGTTGCTAAGGTCTTTGATGAGATGATAAGGATTATAAAAGGGTTGCTAAGGTCTTTGATGAGATGATAAGGATTAATTGTTGGTTTTAGGCAGATTTAAGTGTGTGGCAAATTTAAGAAGATGATCCCTTTAAGATGAAAAGATGCAGTTAGGATTTGAAAAATCTCCTTTCTCATTTCCTGAGGTTGTGTTCACATGGTAATCAGTTGTAATAGGTAGAACATAAATCTATTTGCTTCAGATAGTAAAAAACATAATGTTGTACTTTTGTTTTCCAAGTTCATATTAGCTAACAAAAGATTTGATTTAACCTAGGATTTTACTGTTCCTTGAAGTGAAATTTTAGCCTGCTTTCCTATGCTAATTAGTATAGATCTTAATAGTATCTTGTTTAAGAGAAATCCTTTGATTATGTCTTTTGTCCTCCACAGCATCTAGTACATTTTTGTTCATAGCCTATATTTCCTCTAGATTAATTATTGTTGATCATAGTCTGTATTTCCTTTTGACTAATTTTGATCAGTTCATTGAAAGGTATTCTTTATAGTAAAGTGATTTTGTATAAATTGTATTGGTTTTTACAGGAGAGGAAACTGAAAGAATTTCAGGGTGCCAGAGAAGATGTCTTTCTTCTAAAGTAAAAGCTTAAAGATACTTATATCTGGCTTTTTAATCCAAAAATGTTTTGGTTATGGAAATTTGAGTTCAGCTCTGACAGTAGAACTGAGTTATTTGGTAGTGTGGTGGGGAATACATCATTTAAATGTATTTTAGAAGTATTAAGAATTGAATGGGGGCAGCTAGGTGGCACAGTGTATGGAGCACCGGCCCTGGATTCAGGAGGACCTGAGTTCAGATCTGGCCTCAAATACATAACACTTACTAGCTGTGTGATCCTGGGCAAGTCACTTAACCCCATTGCCTAAAAACAACAACAACGAAAAACAACAACAACGAAAAAAAGAATTGAATGAACTGGTACCTTCATAAAATGCATGGTATTAGGATTAAGTGTTGTAGCTTTAGAATCAAGAAAGAAAAGTGTGATGGAATGATTAAAAAAAATTTAGATAAACTCTCATAATGAATTTCACAAGACATCCACATCATTTTATTGGAGTAGAATTCTGTTTAAAATGAATATTTTATTGCTTTGTAATATAGTTTGAAATCTGGTACTTCTAACTCACCTTCCTTCACATTTATTTTCATTGATTTCCTTGATATTCTTGACCTTTTATTGTTACAGATGAATTTTATTAATTTTTTTCTAGCTAAATAGAATAATTCTTTAGTAGTTTGATTAGTAAACTGATTAAGTAAATTAGTTTAGGTAAAAACTTCTATTTTGATTATATTGTCTCAGCCTACCCATGAGCAATTAATATTTCCCAGTTGTTTATATTTGTCTTTATTTGTGTGAAAGGTGTTTGTGTTCATATAGTTCCTGGTTTTGTCTAGGCAGGTAGATTCCCAAATATTTGATATTGAAATTTCTCATTTGATTTCTTTCTGCCAGGTTATGGTGATGTAGAAATGCTTATGATTTATTTTATATATTTATTTATAGGTTGATTTCATATCCGGCAACTTTGCTAATTGTTTCAGCTAGCTTTTTAGTTGATTATCTAGAGTTCCCTAAGTATACAGTCGTATTGTCTGCAAAGACTGATAGTTTTGTTTCCTCATTGCCATTCTGATTCCTTCAATTTCTTTTTCTTCTCTTATTGCTACAGCTAGCATTTCTAGTCAAATATTGAATAATAGTGGTGATAAATGAACATCCTTATTAAGAAGTTTATCTTCATTACAGATAATGCTTACTCTTGGTTGTAGACAGATAATACTTATCACTTTGAGAAAGGTGCCATTTTTTCCCTTTGCTTTCTAGCTTGTTTTTTTTTTAAGAGGAATGGTTTTGCATTTTGTCAAAAGCTTTTTCTGCGTGTATTGAGATAATCATCTGATTTTTATTGGTTTTGTAATTGATATGGTTAATTATACTTATAGTTTCCTAATACAGAGTCAACCCTGCATTCCTGGTATAAATCCTAGCTAGTCATATTGCATGTTCTTTGTGATATATTGCTGTAATCTCCTTGCTAGTATTTTTTAAAAAATTTTTGTATTGATGTTCATTAGGGAAATTGGTCTATAATTTTCTTTCTGTCTTTTGGCTTTTCCTAGTTTATGTGTCAGCACTATATTTGTGTTGTAAAAGGAATTTGGTAGGACTCCTTCTTTGCCTATTTTTCCAGATGGTGTATATGGTTTTAGAATTAATTGTTCTTTAAATGTTTGGTAGAATTCACTTTGTGAGTCCATCTGGTCCTAGAGATTTTTCTTAGGGAGCTAATTTATGTCTAGTTCAGGTTTGTTTCCCCCCCCCCCCAAGATAGGGTTATGTAAGTATTCTATTTCCTTTTCTGTTAATCTGGGAAATTTATATTTTTGTAAATATTCCTTTCACATAGATTGTAGGATTTATTAGTGTAAAATTCGACAAAATAGCTCTTAACAATTGCTTGAATTTCCTCTTCACTAGTGGTGAATTCACCTTTTTCATTTTTGATCCTGGCAGTTTGGTTTTCTTCTTTCTTTTTTAAAATGAAAAGGAAAAAAAATGAAATTAACCAATCGATGGTTTATCTGTTCTCTCCTTTGACCCTGCCCCTCCTCAAAAGTGTTTGCTTCTGATTATCCTCCTCCCCAATCTGCCCTCCCTTCTGTCACTCCCTCCTGCCCCTCCTCTTATCCCCTTTTCCCCTACTTTCCAGTAGAGTAAGATAGATTTCCATACCCAATTGAGTGTGTATATTATTCCCTCCATAAGCCATATCCAATGAGAGTAAGGTTCACTCATTCCTTCTTACCTTCCCTGTCTTCCCCTTCACTGTAAAAGCTTTTTTTCTTGCCTTTTTTACGTGAGATAATTTACCCTATTCTACCTCTCCCTTTCTCCTTCTCCCAGGACATTCCTCTCTCATCCCTTAATTTTATTTTCTAGGTAGCATCCCTTCATATTCAACTCACCTTGTACCCTCTGTCTATATATGTTCCTTACAGCTACCCTAATAATGAGAAAGGTCTCGTGAGTTACAAACATCATCTTTCCATGTGGGAATGTAAACAGTTCAACTTTAATAAGTCCCTTATGATTTCTCTTTCCTGTTCACCTTTTCATGCTTCTCTTGAGTCTGGTATTTGAAAGGCAGTTTTTCTATTTAGTTCTGGTTTTTTCTCAAGAATGCATTAAATTCCTCTATATCATTGAATTTCAATTTCCCTCCCTCACTGATTACATTCGGTTTTGCTGGGTAGGTGATTCTTGGTTTTAATCCTAGCTCCTTTGACCTCTGGAATATCATCTTCCAAACCCTTTGATCCCTTACTGTGGAAGCTGCTAAATCTTGAGCTATCCTGATTGTGTTTCTACAATACTTGAATTGTTTCTGGCTGCTTGCAATATTTTCTCATCAACCTGGGAACTTTGGAATTTGGCTATAATATTCCTGGCAGTTTTCCTTTTGGGATCTCTTTCAGGGGGTGATCAGTGGATTCTTTCCATTTCTATTTTACCCTCTGGTTGTAGAATATCAGGGCAGTTTTGCTTGATAATTTCTTGAAAGATGATGTCTAGGCTCTTTTTTTGATCATGGTTTTCAAGTAGTCCAATAATTTTAAAATTCTCTCTCCAGGATCTGTTTTCCAGGTTTGTTTTTCCAGTGAGATATTTCACATTGTCTTCTATTTTTTCATTGTTTTGGTTTTGTTTTATAATTTCTTATAGAGTCACTAGCTTCCGTTTGCTCCATTCTAATTTTTAAAGGATTATTTTCTTCAGTGAGCTTTTGGACTTCCTTTTCCATTTGGCCAATTCTGCTTTTTAAAGGCATTGTTCTCCTCATTGGCTTTTTGGACCTCTTTTGCCATTTGGTCCAGTCTATTTTTTAAGGTGTTATTTTCTTTAGTATTTATTTGGGTCTCTTTTGGCAAGTTGTTGACTAGTTTTTCATGTTTTTCTTGGAGGCTTTGAATGCAGGAGCTTTGACTTTGTTGTCTCTTCTGGTTGTAAGTTTTGATCTTCCTTGTTACCAAAGTAAGTTTCTGTAGTCTGAGTTTTTTCTTGCTGTTTGCTCATTTTCCCAGCCAATTACTTGACTTTTTAACTCTTTGTTAAGGTAGGGCTCTCCTTCCAGTGTGGAGGGTGTACTGTCTGAAGCTTCAGGGGTTTTGTGCAGCTGTTTTCAGAGATTCTTCTAGGGACCTGTAAGTTTTCAGTTCTTCCAAGGTGGTATGATCTAAGGAGAGGTGTTTAATCCTCTCCTTGCCTGTGCTCTGGTCTGTGAGTGACCACAAGCACTCTTTTCTGCCCTAGACTAACTGTGAAGAGGGTTCTCTCTGCACTGCTGTTACAAGCTCTGCTATGCCAGTGCTCCTTCTTGCCTCAGGACTGCCATCCAGGACTGCAACCCAGATCCAAGTATGGGCAAAGCAACATAATCCTGCCTCAGTACTAGCAAAGAGACCCCTGTAATCTCCTTCTGATCAGTTGTTCAATCCCCTTACCGTCTGTGGGCTGATTGCTCTGGAAGCAGCCGTTCCCACCACTTCTGTCACTGCTGCTGCCCTGGTGCTGTACTAGGGCCAGGGCTAGACTGCACTCCT